AGGAAATATGATGGGCAATTAAATCAGATACAAAAGTTGAAATTTAAAGGCCATTTTAGATTTTGTTTTACATTTCCAATTTAAAAGTCAGTTATCATTCTTAAGTCAGAATCCAATTAAATATAACAGTATTTTTTTAAATTTCTTTTACTTTGACTTTATTAGGGTATAATTCAAATAAAAACACAATTAACTGACTTGTATTAGCTTTTTTACTCATCAATGTATCACTAAAAAACAAAAAAAAAAACAAAAAAAAAAAACACAGTTTATAGGATTATTCCACTGGCAAGCAAACACAGTGCCAATCATATACTTTCTCTTTTAATTACAGTAGATTGAGTTTAACTAATAATCTATTCCCTTTTTAAAATTAGTTTATGTAAACATGTGAACTTCCTTTGCACTCACTTGCCTGTAGTCCCTCCAGCTCACACAAATGACAATCATTTTATTTGGAAAGAAGGACAGTGATGAAACCTTGACATAGGTAGCGCACTGGTGTTACTAATAACATTAACAATAGCTCTGCTTTGTTCAAGTGCCCAGTAAGCCAACGATGAGAGAGTCATGAGAGTGAGCCAGCATGCACAACACCAAGAACTTGAAACAAAAGCAGCTAACAGTATTTCAGCCATCATTAATTTTACTGCTCATACCTGTGCTTTTCCTACTGTGATATATCAAAATATCCTCTTTTAAAAAACCCTATTGTTGATGACATGTTACAGTTCTCTAAAGGCCACAAATTCACACATCTGAGATAATTTACAAAATGCTTTGAGAAGAATATAGCTAAGATAACCATAATGCCACGTCACTCCTGTGGTACCTCAGTTGTACGTGATGCCAAGCAAGATCTAAATTTAGCTGAGAACAGTTTGAACTCTGAAGTTTCCTTCACCAAGTGAAGCACTCACACTAATTTATCCTAAACAAAGTGAATATCAATGTGGCATATTAAATTGAGAGTGAGTTCTCAAGGAGTAAACATTATATATATTGTATATGTTGCTGACACTTATTTGAATGGCTTGTTGTTGATGCAGCACACATGGCTTACAGTTATATCCAGTGGGACCATACCTGAGTCATATTCCTAACACCTCAGAACTCTCAGGCTGTAGTGTGGAGAGAGTTGAGTTAACCAAGCTCAACAATATTACACTTTCTTTGTGTCTTCATACTGCCTCTCAGAACAATGACAGAGTGTAAATTGTGACAGGTCTGGATTGTCTTTGTCAGTGACTGTGATGCCACCATCTGCTGGAGAAAGGAGACACTGCTTCCTCTATCTCTCATTCATTTGTTGATCAAAACAGATAATTCTTCATTGATTTCATACAACATGCTAATGTGAGGCATGTTTGCCAGACCTGAAAATGTTTCAGTGAACAGTTTACCCATTGTACAGAGAAGCAAATTATTCTGCATCTTGTGAATGCTGTCACTGTTACAGTACCACACAGTTAAATTAATCTTATCCACAATGACACATGCTGTCATACTGAGCCCACAGGTGCAACCCCTGAACAGTCAGAACCAGTAAATCAATATTGCAAGGGTGCAAAATCAAAAGTAATGTGTCAACAATAATCTTGGCATTCAGGAGAGACCACCGCATAACCACAGCATTGTTAAAACATAAAGTGTCAACATATATGATAATAATGTGAAACTGAAACATATTAGAGGTTTGCAGAAACGTATAGTGCCAGTTATTCTGACAATTCCGGTAATTCACACATAATTAATGTTGATTGACTGACTCATGCTGGTGGCAAAGGAGAAATCAAATTGATTGTAAGACCCAAAACATGGCCATATTTTCAACTGTGACCAGTTAAAAAAGGTGCACAGAATCCTTTCTTTTCCATGTTTTACCTCATTGTACTTGTATGCAGTCAAAAGACAGTGGAATATTGCACCATCTTTATAGTGCAGTGCTACACTGCGAGCTGTTGTGGAGTACGTGTTTGCAATTTAGAAAATGTTGATGATGTTTTTAAGAATACGCAATTAGTTGAGAAAACAAAAAATAAGGATAATTTTGAGCAAACCTAGTTACGTGCATATGACATCAGCAAAGGTCAGGTTGAACACTAGCATTTATTGCAACAGAGCAATCTGTGTTTTGGATTTTGCAGCTGTAAATAACAGAGAATGTATGTAAGGCTTTATAAACCTACATGAGGGATTATAATCTGCATTCTTGTTTTACTAAGCAGCTTTGAGGAGACTTTGCTGAATTTGATCCGTAAATCTTGTGGACAATAGTAACTGACAGGAAACTGTAGACCTTGAGAGCAGATGATCTTAATCCTAGTTAAGAGATACTGATGTTTTGTTTTACAGTCCTACTTCCTGGACTATTACTGGATCAATAAAGGGGAAAAATGTTGAATAGAAAATCTAAACTTAACTTCTTTCCTCTGTATAATGATAATTGGAGTAAGACTTACAGCATATGGGCCCACTGAATTGCAGGGGTGCCTGCCATTGTGTGGTAAATGCAATGCACCAAGGAGCAAGACTCATTTTTTTTTGTCCACCTATAATGTTCGGAATCTAGTTTGACTTCCTTGAAAAATCTCCTTCAAACCCAAAACCAAGGCCTTCTGTTGCCACATACAGGGTGAATACCAGGTAAATCTAGGACCTTTTTCACTATGTGTAATATTTAATTAGATCCAAAGGAGTTATATCATCTGTTATTTTTTACATTGGCCACAAAACCATTGGAATATCTGTCTTCGTGGGCAGATTATGAGAAAATGGGTCCATGGGCAGTGGGCACAGACGTGCCAAAAGTCCCAGCACCTCCCCTACGAAGAAACAAGACACACAGACTTCGTGGTGGTTTTGCCTCTTTTTTGTTGTTGCTTTGCATATCTTTGTAATTGTTATACATTCTTTTGTGTCTTGTTGTAATCTTTTTGTGTCTCTTTTCATAATAAGTGTTAATTTGAGTGACATTTTGGAGATATAGGCCAGGGGGGGCCCTTACACCTTGGGTCCCTAAAGGGCGCCTGTTCAGTAATTCATCAATGTCCATGTGTGACATGCAAACAGATGCAGTAATGTCATTTACATAATAATATAATATAACTTTGCTAAATCAGCAAACATGAGCCACCATGAGCTACTGGCTGTACCAGACCAAGTGAGGCTGAAGCAGAAAATCCTTGAGTGTACTGAAGTGAGTGTGTTTTACTGTTAATGAATTAAACTTTTCTAAAAGGAGGGTAGTGTAGAGTGATGACATTTATTTGTAAGCCAGACCAGAAGTTAACATCGCCCTGGTTGCCTTGTCTAAAAGCCTATGGGATTTTTCTATAAAATTTTTAAGTATTGCAGAAAATGAGCTCTGTTACAAACAAACACTTATGATACTTAAAAAAGATAGTTTCACAAATTAACACCACTTTCATGATTTTTAAAGTGTTAGGCTATTGCCAGAAGTAAAGACCTACTGTTAAGCTATGAACAAACAACACCACGTTCGCATGACTTCAACATCACCACCACAACAAGGCTGTAAAGCCACATTCAGTGTGATTATGTTCTAATTTAGTCACTTGTTTTAGCCATTTGTTAGCAACTGCCTTTTTTAAGACACTTACAAGCTTCAAAATTCACAAGTGGGGTATTTACTGACATATTTTATGCTATAGAATAAAATGAGAAAGTCATGTTTTAGGAGTCATTCCTGCACCACTATTTTATTTCCTTTAAAAGTTCCATAGCCTCACTTTAAAAGGCAAATTAGTTGCCATGAAGCTTTACAAATACTGATATAATTCAGTATATTGTATCATATATCATCATCATGAATTAACGTTTCCTTTTTTAAAAAGCTTTTTACATTTTTTTTTACGGTGGCCTCCTTTTTCTGGTGTGATCCCTTGGTTTGCATGACAAATCCAGTTCACCTCTCCTTCTCTTGACACACCACACTAACAAGACTAGCTTAAGTCTGGTAGCTCTATTTAAATGTCACTGCATTAACAACCTAAATCCTTAATTGTTTTAACTAGTCAGCAGTGGCTGGCATCAGGGAGGTAAATAAAGGTTAATATAGCGTATGGTTCGTAATATCATTGGGGAATTCTGTCTCTGGTCAGCTGGCACTGTTAATCAGCAGGGCAATAATCTGATATCCAATAAGAGGATTCAGTTGCCAGCAAAGTTACGTTTCCTGTTCTGTCTAAATAACTATGCCTCTTAGTTAAGAATATGATTTTAATCACATATTACTGCCTGATTGATATATTTATACAGGTCTAAAACAAAATTTTCAAAAAATATTTCTGAGAGTCTTTGGGCTTGACTTGCTTCAACTTCTGAAGATTCCTGGCCCCCTCTGAATGAGGAAGTAGGCTAATGCATAAAGCCTAAATCCTCTTTTATGTATCCACCAGCCTTCCTTTGTTCTCTTCAGTATCAGAGTATGAAAGAATTGCACAGTAATAACCAACATAAACCATTAATTGTTAATTTGAAAAAGATAATGTACCTATAACAATTTTTTAAAAAGTATTTTGTGAAAGAAAATTATCATAGTGTTGTAGCATTCCTCAAAGAATCAAGACACGCAATGGCATTTTCTAGTCATAGAGTTCCTATGACTTCCTTGAGTAATCTGTAGGGATTGCAAAAAGATTAATGTAAGCCACAGAATCTATGCATTCATAAATACATGTGAGGGCAGCAACACTCATTGTTGCTTATTCTGTCTTTAGATCACTCAAATCAACTGTAACTACTATAAACTTGTATCATAAAAATATTTATCAATCAAAAGAGGGTGAATTCATGATGGGCTTTGGTTGAGATGTGCCACACAGCCAACGTCATGTGAGCCAGGCGGCTCAGCAGGGGATAATGGTATTTAGATGTCCTGTAAGCACGCGGATCCTCTCAGTCAGCAACATTAATGGGGCCATGAGGCATCCTGCTCATGTCCTCCATGCTTAGGTAAAGGGGGTATTAGACAAACGTGTAGACATGCTGGCTGGTCCGGGTGTTCTGTCTGCTGTGTAGTCTGGGGGGGATCGATATGGCGAGCCCTGGGAAGGTGGCCAACTTGTGGAACAGGAGGCAGAGTCTCTTCCCCAACTACAAAGTCACAGATTCGGAAATTAATCGAAGACCCTCAGAAATTGCTTATCCACTAGCCAAGGAAAGCTGCGTGAAGACATGGAACTCCATGCAGGACCTGAGCAGGGATATCTATGACATCTATGCTGAGTATGAAGACGAAGAGGACGACAATGCTCCACATGGCCTCTCCAAGCATATTTTACCCTCCAAGAAGAACTATATGATCAACATCAATGTAGGGGGGAAGCCCTACCAGATAGCCTACAAGACGGCTGCCAAGTATCCCAAGACCAGAATAGGACGACTGGCCACCTACACGGACCACAACATGAAACTGGACCTTTGCGATGACTACATCGTGACCAACAATGAATACTTCTTTGACAGGGACCCAGATGTCTTCCACAGCATATTTAACTTCTACAGGACTGGTGTGCTGTGGATCAAGGATGAGTTGTGTCCCCGCAACTTCCTGGAGGAGATCAATTACTGGGGTGTGAGGATCAAGAACACCCACCGCTGCTGCCGCATCTCCTTTGAGGAAAGGCAGGATGAGCTGAACGATCAGTTGAAGATTCAGAGGGAGCTGGAGGCAGAGGTGGAGATTGAGGAGAATGAAGAGCTCTTTCATGACATGTTCATGGGCCAGCAGCGGAGAGCTATCTGGAACTTGATGGAGAAGCCATTTTCATCTGTCAAGGCCAAGCTGATGGCGGTGGCCTCCAGCCTGTTTGTCTTAGTCTCCCTGGTGGCCATGACTCTCAACACAGTGCAGGAGATGCAATACAGAACTCCCACAGGTCAGCTCAGTGGTAAGACATACTGGGAATATGTGGAGTCCATGTGCATCGCCTTCTTCACCATGGAGTACCTGCTCCGTCTGGTGTCCACTCCTGACCTTAAGTCCTTCGGAAGGAGCGTCCTCAACACTGTGGACCTGATTGCCATCCTGCCTCAGTATCTGCAGGCCATCCTGGAGTTCTTTGACAGTGAGGAAAACTACCTGAAGCATGAGGCTGACATAAAGGCAGTGGGGCAGGTGGGAAAGCTGGGCCAAGTGTTGCGCATCATGAGATTGATGCGAATCTTTCGTATCTTGAAGCTGGCACGACACTCCACAGGTCTCCGGGCGTTTGGCTTCACTCTGCGTCAATGCTACCAGCAAGTGGGCTGCCTTTTCCTGTTTATCGCCATGGGCATCTTCAGCTTCTCCGCCATGGTTTACACTGTGGAGCATGACATGCCACAAACAAACTTCACCAGCATTCCTCATGCATGGTGGTGGGCAGCTGTAAGTATATCTTTGAAAAATTCAATAATGTAAATGTAGGAAAGAAAGCTAAGTAACCTTTTTATGTAAGTAAAATAAAGTGCCCTACTCTTGAATTACTTTAATGCGGACAAAGTCCCTGAATTGTGTGTTAACCTTGTGATGTTATTAGATTACACTCCAGCACTACCTGGCTTACAAAACACATTGAGGTCAGCCTGACTGCAGCTTGTGTCACCTCATGCTTTGGTTATGTGTGACTTGCGTGATCGATGGGAAGATTTGTTCATGTAACCTGATCAGTTTTATAGGGTGGAATAATGGGGCTCATGCCTGTACTCAAGTCTAGCTCTTGGTTTGAGTGAAACTGCTAACATGAACCTTTATTCACTGCCTGCTGCCAGGAATAAACCCTTTACCAGATCCTTCCCCTCCCTCTTTGACCCAATGGTAGAATCTTACTTCTAATCCTGGGGAAAGAAATTATAATCCCCTGAATGATAGTATTGGTAATAGAGAAGGGATCTGTGAGCACTACTCACTGCTACGGGTTCCTGAAGTAGACGAATTGTGTGCCATCTTTGAGACTGCTTCTGGGTCATTCTGTTTGCAGAATATCTCTATGAATCGGTTTTCACAAAACTTTTTGGAAAGGAGGAGCTTAAACATTTTTTCAAACTTTGGCCATGGGGTGTGACAGTTTACAGGGCTTCTCACTGAAGGTTAGATACCCCTCGGAACAGATTTGTACAGTGCAGTCAGACTATGTGGCAGTCAGCAGAAAGAAGAAGAAAGAAAGAAGCAAAGCTGAGTGAGAAACTTTCATTACTACTTTTCCATAGACTGTATGGAAAAGGCTAGTCTGACTCACAGAGTGTATGTAGACTGTGACTATAAGCCTGCCATTGGCTGTCTAGTTTCCCTTCTGCTATCTTGTGTTACCATTTTAAAAATCCCCTTCTGTATTGGAAATAACAACAACGTCTAAGCTAAAAAATTAAACACGAAAAAAAAAATTACGAAGATGTGGATCGAGTGATAAGACATGCCTGCTTTGTTCTTTTAGGTGAATTGTTGTAAAGATCTACAATGATTAAAACAACTTGTGAAGGCACCTCAGAAAAGCCCAGACTTGGAGTTGATTTATCACATCTTTTGAAACATCTCCAGTCAATCGATACCTCAATAGGATCCTTTTTGCGCTGGGGGTCTGATCTCGGACCACTCCCCATCAGATCAGAAAACTTTCTGCTGCCACTCAACTTTCAACAGAGCCACTCCCCTCCTGGAGAGTCTGCCTGGGTAGAATAGCCTAACACACCAGCGTGCTTACACCCAACACTGAGCCATTAAACAGTCAACAAACTAGCCCTGTCACTTGTGTGTTTTCTCCCCTGACACTATTTTGCAAGGTCAGTGTCACTGTCTCCTGGGCTTAGCGCTGCCCAGGACAATTGTGATTGGTTTAGAGAAATCAAAACAAGCCAGAGTGTATTTTCCCCACAGCAGAATGGCAATACAGTGATTCCACACCTTTCAACAGAGATCTAGGTCTGGATACACAAGACTAGAGGACAGCTAATAACCACATAGTGATTACTGGCTACATAATGCTGTTATAACAGGATAAAATAGTGAAGTGTCTAGAATTTTAACAGGTAAATCTAATGGAATTAAGGAACAGTCAAGAAAAGATGCAGAAGAAAGATGTGGTTCATCTAATGTGACACTGTGTTGGTAATAATACAATAGTTTTCGTGGAAGTAAGGGTCCACCATGAAATTATTTGAGTATAAAATGAACCATCACCAAACTACAGTTGGTTTAACTGATGGACACAAGTGGTCATTTCTTTTTTTAATCACTTTGAACAACAATTCACAACACTGAGAGTTATGGAAATCTAGAATTTGTTTCTTGATCCATTTGATATGCTAAACCATTTTTTCCCCAACTAGTAGTATTAAAATCCAATTAGCTAACATTAATACATTTTTCATAGTCTGCATACTCTTGAATCAGTGCAGAGTGGCTCCAGACTTGTGTGTGTTGCAGTGTGTTCTGTTAATATTTTGTTTCTGAACTTTTTATCCATGTACTTTTTTATACTTACACTTGTGTCACTGGTTTAAAGAAGTACTTAACTTACAAAATGACCATTTATTAACCAATTGATCATGATGTTTTACCTTGAATTTGTGAAGAAAACATTGTTTTTCTTGAGGCCTCCACTGAAAACGGCACACATGATTAATTAATCAATCATGTGTGTCAATCAATTAATTGATTAATTGAGGACCATGATTAACAACAACAAAACTATATCAAAACATCAGTTTACAAACTCTCATACAACTCGTGCAGTATAATCCAAGTGTCATTTATCCAGTCGTATGCTCAGTACTTCCCAAACACATGCATTTTCATTAAAACATTATAAACTGAACTGAAAGTTAAACTTATCTAAGCTCTCTTCAACTCTACAACATTTTGTCATGAACTCAAGGCAACACGTCATGACTAATGATAATTGGGGATGTACTGGCTCAAAGTTTGAATCCAATCCCCCTTTTTTTACTATCTACTTGCAGTCCAATAAAGGCAAAATATTGTTCTTGATAAAGACGCAAAATGCCCCAATTTATTGGCACCACATGGATCAGCAAATGTCTATCAAAAGGGACATTGACTAGATCTACTGGTAAGGTTTGACAGTCATGTTTCTCCTCACCACTGACTGCTCTTCTCACTTTCCCACAGGTCAGTATCTCCACTGTGGGCTATGGAGACGTCTACCCAGAGACCGTACTGGGTCGTATCTTTGCTTTCATCTGCATCTCTTTTGGAATCATCCTCAACGGGCTGCCCATATCCATCCTCTTCAACAAGTTCTCAGACTATTACTCTAAACTCAAGTCCAATCAGTACACAGCTGCCCTGAAGAATCGAGGGAAGGTGAGATTTGCCAAGAGGACAGTGAAAAGGTTGAACAGCTTATTTGATAACCGCAATTGACATGAACACTGATTTCTTATGCGACTTTGTAATGCTTTCCTTTATAAATAAACAGCCTAATATGCTTGACTGTAAACTGTGCAAAAACAAACTATGTGTGATGAGGATGAAAAGGTGGAGCAGGGACAAAAGATGAGGGTTCAATCCACAGTCGCACATCTGGCCATGCATAACAATACATTGGCAGCTTTTGTGTTAGGAAGCCGGTGAGGGATCACACAAGCATGTGGGTATTAACACCCTATCCGTCCTAATTAGTACTGAACACAATGTGTGTGTGTGTGTGTGTGTGTGTGTGTGTGTGTGTGTGTGTGTGTGTTTGTGGTGGGTGGGGGTTATATTTTATAACCATCATTTTATACTAAATTTCTCAGTCAAAAATGAGAAATACAAAAATTAAAGAAATATCCCAAAGTAGTTATGCCTCATAGTTAAAGTAGAAAATTCTGTGTAAAAGCATTCTTGGAACCCACATATTTATATAT